TTTCGTCAAAGAAAACAAATCTTAGACACGACCATCACGTTTACATTTCTTCAATCTCTATATATGCAAATAAAAATGGTTGTCCCTTGTTCCCATATGTAATGGGGTAAGGGGAGATAAGATAGTAGGTTGGCCCCAACACCAGGTTGAGAGCAACTTCCGTAGAAGACCTCCGAATTATGAAATGCCCTCCGTGGGACTTGATCCCACGACCTCAAGGTTAAGAACCTTGTGCTCTACCAACTGAGTTGGATAGTTATCTCTCTATATGTGCAAATGACACTCTCTAAAGCCTTTGTTTATAATCAACCAAATGCTCTACCTTTTCTTGACAACAATGGATCAAAGTGGCATACAAACATATTTTGATACTTATATTTAAATTAATCGATTCATAAATTAAGGTCATAAGCATATGAATGAAAAGTGAACACTATACATACGTACATACAATATGTTTTCCAAGTTATCCACTTGTTTCCCTGACTAGAAAAGAAATTAATGATTAAAGAAAGATTTGGGTTTGAAATATTGAATCAGATTAACCATGCATTCATTTTCCAATATCAGCATATTGTACTTTTAAAAAAAAACTCAATTATATTTAGGTACAAGCTTTCAGCTAAAGAGATGTTACTTTTGCATGTCCATGAGCCATGAGGTTTCACGTTTTGTCTTGAATTAAACGGAGTTTCATCAAAGTATGTCGTTAACGTGCGACTTTCATGTGATAAAAGTGGGGATATGACACATATCACTGTCGAAAGTGATAACATGATGTATCATATGTCGAAAACAATGATGCAGCACATATTATATGTCAAAGTGATGGCATGCGTAACAACATAACACATGTTTAAAATGATGACATGATAAATATTACATATCGAAAGTGATGATGTGATATATGGCATATGTTAAAAATAATTACGTGACACATATCACATATCAAAAGAGATGGCTTGATCAATTAATTAAAGACATTTTATCGTAAAATAAAAAATTAAAGGTCACGTTACTTTTTAAAAAAATATATAAATTAAAATAACTTATTCAGTAAAATATTAAAGATTCTTTACATGCGTTATAATTATTAGCAATGTAATGTACATATATAGGTGGCTTGATTAAGAGGAGAGAAAATGCAGATTATCCAGTCTTGGGAATTGTGGTGTGTAGGCACTATGACAAAAGCTAAACAAAGAGGAGTAACAACGCTCCCTCGAGAGTATCCAAAGACCCCTATAATTATGAGTTGGGAACCCCAAAACAGGGCCTCTCGGCACCACTCCACACCTCTACCGGTACAAACATCTTTCATATTTGGCGGTTCATGTTCACATGATTAAAGAGACAAAATATGGATTTCATCTCAGGTATGTGATATATGATCAAATGTAAACATATGTACACTTTTCTTTCTTTCTTTCTTTTTCTTTAGCGTGCTTCGATGGGGACAATTGAAGTGCGTTATGGAGTGTCTTGAATTCAGCAGTAAATCAAAAACCCAGATCTGGGAAATTTAATCATATCTTTCTAGTTTTTGAACTATTTAGCATTAAGGAGGGGGACCAATATGAAACTTTTACAGAGAACCCCACGAGCTGAACAAAAGAGTTGGTAAAAGACCTAGATTCTGCACCCTCCTTATCCCTCCACTTTTCATATATAGGGGAAGCGAAAAAGAAATTTTGGCTCTTGGGCTTTATACTTTGGATTCCTCACTTTAAACATCATTTTTAGGGTTAAAAAGAACTTGTGGGGATATATTCAAATATAAATATTATTTGAATGACATAATGATAAAGTGAGCCTTCCTGTTTAAATAGTCACTTTGATTTTTTTAATCAATTTTCTAATTTTTAATCAAAATATTTCATGTTTGATGAAAAACGTATGTAATTGATATGACATTTTCACTTATACTTAATTATTGACTTATTACATTTCACGTCATCAAAATGATGACATGACATGCATCATGTTATTTAAAGTGACAATAAGACATGTGTCATACTACTTAAAGTGATGATATATTATGTGTCACGTCATCAATTAATCACATATGAAAATATTACATCAATAATATATGTTGATCGTTAGTTAATTAACGATTTTCATCCAATAATAATTATTTTAATCAAAAATTAAAATGTTGAACTAAAATACTTCTTGAAAAGAATGAATGCCTAAATAACTCATGTAGACAAATATTGAGTGATTAATTTATCATTATGTTCATTTGAATTTGTATATAACATATCAGTCGCCAGGAATTATACTTGTTCATGTACAAGTGTGGCATGTGACACGTTGTAGTACCTTAAGTTGTAGGAGTCTCACACATGAATACCATTTAGGTCTGTCCATGTATAATCTTTGTGTCCTAATGACATTTTCATTCAAAGGGAAAATAAAATTTTCATTTGGTTCTCGGGAAAGTGACAGGGAAAGTTGCAAACGAAGATTTTGACTATATCTTTAATCGTTTTCCATGATAAATTTTAGTAAAAAGATCTCGTAGATATTTCATAAGTTTAAATTTAACAATTAAACTTCATTTAAAAAACACAAGCATACACGTTTTTTAGGACGGGACTCCCTGAAAAAGAACAGAAGCACATGGCGTTATAGGGTGGAATCATGGTGAAAAATGAAAACCCAAACTCCCATATCATATGGCATGAGTTGGTGTTGATGATGATGGCGTTGGGAATGAATAGTGGTGGGAACCGGTTGCTCACAAAATCCAAATCCTCTTTGGTAAAAAGCTTTCTCCCAAAACACCAAAATGTCCCATCTTTATCCATGCCCCCACTTTCAATAGCTACGTTTATACGCTCCACCCCATCATCCTCGTCGATAAAAATCACACACATTAAATTTATTAAGTGAATTTGATGGTTAAAAGTAATATTATTTCTCTTTAAACTTTTAGATATAAATAATTATATGTGTAAGGTATAATATCAATGATTAAAAAATTTATCAACAAAACAAATATTATTTTATGATCACTACAGAATATTTAGGAAAAAAACGCTCACACACATAAAATAATATAAAACTGTTTAGTATTACTACCGCACAAGATTCCTCGATGCAGTTTGAAGGGATATTTCGTAATACGGCCCTTGATATTTAGTATTAACACCTACTTATTATTTTCCATAGAAATTAAAATATACTTTTATAAACTATTCCCACACCTTGGCCTATTATCTGTCCCATTTGTGGGTTAATCCAACTTTCTTTTTTATTAAATTGTGGCATAAACTACACAGGGTGGGCTGTGGGGGATTAATTATAGTATTCGTTTTTAGTTTGCATTTAAGTTATAGTGTGACATTTTTAGTGGGGAAGATGGTGTCTTTTTGGGTTGATAAATGATAAGACTCCCAAATCTTCATGGCTCCCACCTTGCTGTAGCAATCATAAACCACCAACTTGCATCAATCGATTGGTGAATGGCTGCCCTCACACAATTATATAAATGGCTTCTTCATAATTATATTACCCAACTGCATTCTGATAATCGAATTCACTCTGTTGACAAACAAGTAAAATAAAAGCTAGCTAGGGTTTAGCTCTAGAAAGGAGAATGCTTTGTATTGATTCAAGTTTTAATAGATAATCAAGTTAGATTTTCTTATAATTTTAATGGTCTAATGTTATTTAATTATCAAATTTGTTTAGGTAAAATATTTTTAAAAAAAACAACTTTTTATATGCGTAAGTTTTCAACTCTCTAAATATAGAACATGTCTGAAATTGACCTTATAAAAATATAATGAATCTTATCCTTTAGAATTATGAGAATGAAATTATTGAAGAGATATGGTATCTTTGTTTGAGAAATGTATTTTGCAAGAACGTAGAGAGAATTTGGTAATACGATGTTTGTAAAATATATTAAATCTTTGGTATACAAGGAATTTTAAGTATTTGAATTCTTTATTATCTTTATGTTTATAATATTTTTTTCTCATTCGTAGAGTTAGATAGTGTCGAATCACGTTAAATTTTATCTATTGTATGTGATTTATTTCAATTTTTTCACTTTCAAATTTCTAATAAGTGGATTGTGTTAGCAAGATTAAAAACATGCAAATAGATAAAACAATGGAAAACAAACAAATGGAAATTAAAAGAAGGAAATGTGAGAAATCATGGTTAAACCAAACGAAATTCAGTCACAATCTCTAATGAAACAGTTGATTAATTTCTAATAATTAATTTGTAGATAAAATATTATATTTAAAAACAATTAAACATAGGCTTGGTCATCAGTTAATGTCAAGAATCGACTTGAAATTGTTATATGAGAATGGGTAAGTGGTCCTTGCATCCTTTAATCTATGCGAAGGAATATACATGTGAAGGTGAATTAAGAACGAGTCCAAGTGAGTTAGATAAAATAGTACTATTGAATAATTGTCACCCTGTGTCGGATTCCCGATCACACACTGGTCCATACCAAGTGTAGTGAGGGGAGTGAAGTGAGATGATAAGGTTAGAAAGCAATTTGCAGGACACGTTTACGTTTTTAAGTTCCACTTTTTAAATGGCCATTGTTGTAATCTTCACCCACATTATGCAAGAGATAAATGCACCCTATGTCTGCGATCTAGGATAGTATGGAGAGAGACACAAAATCTTATATTAGGGGAAATAAATTTATTTATATTTTTATATGTGGAATCTGCAGAGACGGAAGCAGACGACGTTCTGTTTTGGAGGAGATAAGAGAAGATATTTAAGATGGAAGAGAGGAAACAAGGTTGCCATGTTGATGGCCAGTGAAAATTGGTAATTAGGGCCGGAAACTGAGGGGGTCATGTTCATGAGTTGAACCATCTGCGGGACCAAGTCCTAGTCCCTTCACTCATGCCTCCACAAACTTCTCTTCATCCATTTATTTATTTGCTTTAGAATTCAGATACAAAATATGTAACGTCAATTAAGAGGAAAAACAAAATAAAGAAAATATTGAAATAAAATGATATTATAATATTATTTTTATTTATTCACGGTTCGAATACAACAAGCTTAGAAAGGCCCCAAAGACCTTCGTATATTTGTTTATGAACCAAAAACTGGTCATGAAACAGATTTTCCTCCTCCTCTAGAGGAAATTTCCAACAAAAAAAAAACCTCAAAGGGGAACAAATATATGCACACACGTGTCTCCATCACACGCGAGGCGTAAAACGTAGAAAGAAATGAAGATGAACGAAGAAAGAAAGAAAGAAAGGCATTCCCGCCAAAAAAAGCACACATAAACACGTGTGTTCCACACATGCCAAATGCGTGAACACACAATCCACTCGGCCCCCAAACTTCAACGTTTTGATCCCTAAATCGGCCGACCCAATCTCTCTGCTTCGGCTCCCCCTCGGCCTAAGGGACCACCCATCACACTTAAAATATTTACACTCCCTTGGGAATCTGCAAACCCATTCCCACCAACGAAATTATATTTAATAAATATGCAAACTCGCCAAACTCTTCTTTTTCTTTTTTTTTACATGCACATATGTATATACTCTTGCATGTCAATTTTCTCTCAAAACCCTGACCCACACCAAAATTATATATATTTAGGTTTCTAAACAACTTGGGCCACCATTTTTATCCTTTTCTTTATTGTTTTCTTACTTGCAGTTTCTGTCATCATCCACTCGGAACCAGCTATTTAATTTTCTCCGTTTGATTGAAGAAGATGAAGAAGATGAGGAAGATGAGTCACTTGGTCTCATTCGGCCTCGGATCGTTACCCGAAGCTGTGGTAACACCTTTGGTTGTTTCCTCCTCGCATTGTCTTCCACGAGCTCTTGCATTAATCTGTAGCAGCTTAGGATTCTCTCCTGCAAAAATTGAATATATTTTCCCATATTGGCCTTTGCAAATAATTTCTCAGTTTGAACATTAGTTAATTGAACTTACCTTGTTTAGTCCATCACACCATGACTCCGCATGTTCAGGATTGAAAAGGCACAAGTTTGGGATTTCGTTGGCCGCACAAAGTATCGCCGCCGCAGCAATACTTGACGGCCGATACTCTAGAAAGCTCGCCTCTGTTTACAAATTACAACATCAAAACAAATACGAATGTCAGCTGATATACAATATCAACCGACAGAAAGAGTATAGAGTTGGTGATAATGATAATAGTACCTTTGATATTGGATAAAATAATATCCGATGCCCTTGAAATCAAGAAGCCCAGAAAAGTTGCGGTTGGGTCGAGCTTGCATGCAAAGAAATCAATGAAACAGAATGGCGTTACTGATCGCAGTCTCCAATCCAGAACCGTCAGCACAAGCAGTTCCATTCTTTGAATTGTTTTTGGTTCAAAAATGTATTTCGCTCCCTCTACCTGTACATAGATGCAGCATTTTGTTGGAATTAGAATAATTTCTAATCCGCCAAAATAAATGTTTCCAAAAATTGTTAGAAGTTTACTGAAAATTAAATAATTGTTGTTGATAGAAGGAGCAATATTATTATACCTGGAGATCTATAAGAGAGGGAACAAGAGGTTCCTCCATCTTCGCCGCTAACGACAAGCAAGCGATAGATAAAAGTTGCAATGGCCACCCACTATTTTCCTGAAGAGTAAAACAAATATAACTTATTTTTTAAAACAAATATATTTACAGACAATAGTCAAGAACTTAGATAACAACCATCGCTTAATTATTAAGGTCAGTTAGCTGTTGATTATAAAACTTAAATGGATGTTACTATGATTAAAGATATGAAACATGCTATTTTATTTTAATTAATTACTGAGTTACTAGTGTCCTTTTCAGAATTTCATTGTTGTTGAAACTTCAACAGAAAAATCCACTGTTATTGAAAAGGCAAATATAATTGCATCAAACAGTGAAATTTTAATGATTCCAATTCTGTTATCCACCAAATAAATCCTTCAGTAAACTTAAGAGTGACGGAAACAAGAGCTCACCGGCAAGCGGCGGGAATACAAAAACCGATCCAAATAGTTCACGGAAAGATAGGCCGTCAAAGGCTGCAAATTGTAGTATGACTGCACCTGCAAACAAACAAACAAAAAGGGATTATTAGCATTGCTTGAAACGAAATCGAAAAAGTTGAAAGCAACATCCGGCCAATCACTATTCATCTCCGTCCATCCATCGGCTGTTGTGTGCAAGTTAGCAGAACATTGAAACTTTTGAACTAACGTGCGCCAGTGGTATTATTGTAATATCGAAGAACAGAGACTGTTTGTACATTCTTAGTCCGTTAAACGGTTTACCTTTAGAATCCACGCAACAGATTCCTCTCGAGCCGACGCGTCAAGAGATTGACACTGAAACCGAGCCAAGTAATCGAATCCGGGGACGAAGTTCGTTTCGTCTTCAATGAAGCCATCGATGGAGGATTCCTCGATGGAAGTCGCCGGAGACTTCAGATCCGACGAAAACACCGGGGAATCGCTAGATAACACCTCGTCGGAATCCTCGGCGCAGAGCAAGTCCGTGAAGCGATCGGGACATGATAACGACATATTGATAGTGGTTTCGATGACAGCAATCCTGGCCGTTGATTCCTCCTCATTATCTCTCCATGCCCACCAGTAGATCGAGTAATCTCGATGTCGAAACAAAGAGACGGAGATGTTCTTCTAAAATGTGTCGGCGAGTGTGTGAGTGAGTGAGGGATATAGAGGAGGAGGAGAGAAAGAGAAACGGTTTTGGGGGGGGGGGGGTTTGAAGCGTTGATGTAGTTTTTGATAGTTGGGGGCTGAGGGATTCCTTTTGGGGAGGGAGGCTACGTTTTATTTCAGGCTTGATTGAGGAGCAATATTTCCCGGGAAACGGGATTCCATTTTTTGGAGGGTACTGACAAATTGCAGAATTTAAGAGACGGAGAGTCATTGTTATTAGGATGAACTATACCAAAAGAGATCATTTAATTATGGTTTCATAATAAATAAGTCACCTTTTTTTTAAAAGTTATAAATAAGCCACTTAATTAAAATATTATTATAAATAGATCACCATATCGTTAAAATTGAAACAAACTTTTAATGTGATATGATATAATAACATTTTTAATTCACAAATCAAACAAGCAAGTTTATCGTATCAAAGTAGTAGTTGAATAATTGGATTTTACCATAAAAATAAATAAAAACGTAATATAATATTTTTATGAGAAGCAAAATAATTTAGTCAAAAAATAAATATTAAAATGATGAAATTTTTAAATATGAAGAGTTGAATTTATTAAATTATTTCATATTAAGAATAAATTGATAAACTGTGTAAGTTTTAAGGAATAAAATTATTATTATATTAAGTTACATTGTTATATTATCTAATATTTAATGAAGTGAATTATTTATAATAATATTTTAATTGAATGGTGTGTCTATAACTTTATTTAAATAACATGTTTGATATTAAATCTATAATTAAGGGGCATTGGATGTAGTTTACCCATATTATATTTACTACTACCTCCGGACTCGGACAGGATGATTAAAAGGATAAAGTTTATCATTTGAGTTTTTGTTTCTATTAAGTGTTGGGGTAAATTACCTTTCTACCATTTGTCGTAACCGTTTTTTCGACGGAACAATCGCTTAATTGTTTTAAAAAAAAATTACGACTTTTTCTTTTGGAAAATGGGTATTTTGAAGTAATTTGAAATAAATTGAAAAGAGTCGTCATCAACCTTTGAGTTAAGTAGGTCGAATACCTAAAAACATCTTTTAAAAACAATTTTAAGAAAAATCATTTTTTTAAGACAAAAACTGGTATGTGTTTACCAAAGATTCGTTTAAAACAGGTTCGGGAGTCGGTTACGCGTGGGGAATGATTAACACCCCCATAGCGCCCAAAATTGGTACTGTTTCGCTTACACGTTGTCGTAATGGTAGAAATTATGAATTCAAATATCAAGTTAAAATATGATCCGCTTATTGAAATTTAATTAATTTACTTTAGATTAATAACTTAAAGAAAATAAATAAAATAAAATAAGTAATTAAACTTATAAGAACCAAAATAATTAGAACAAAAACTTAAAGGGTTAATAAACCAAAATAAAAAATTACAATCATTAAATAACACATGTACTAAAATGAAAATAATCCAAAAATGAAATTTAGAACTAAAGTGCAACAAATCAAAAACTTGAAGGCTAAATCACAATTAAACCAAATTAAAACAAAGACTAAAACGATATATTTACAAACATCATAGCCAAATTCGAATAATATAAAAAATACACAAATATATTAAATCAATGACTAATATTTAATATTTATAAATATTATGCACAAAGTCAAATATTAACATAACATGTAATAATGTCGAGTTATGCACATGAAGATAACATACAATATTAATTAAAAGATGCCTTGTACTTAATTTATATATTAAAATGAATAAAACTACATATGTAATTTATAAACAATCAAAAACTAATAATAACTACATATTGTGAAGAAAATATGCATACACATTCTAATAATAACATACAAAAGAAATAAACATTAAATATATACATGAGTAAATAAAATATAATATATACATATGTGCAATAAAATGTATAAAATATATGACTATATACAAATTATAAAACGTTAATATATATATATATATATATATATATATATATATATAAGTCATGTAAATATTCAAACATGCATATATATGTAAAAAAAACACCAATGATAATATGGAAACCTTAAACAATATTACAAATAAAATTATTTACACATACGTGGTGATTAAGAAGGCTAAAGGATGTTAATAATAACTTGTAATTATAAACTACAAAATCAACATCAAATCGAGATAATAATTAAATATCAAACAATATATATACTAACAATGAAAATAACTCACAAAACAATATTATAGATTTAATTAAAACACACACCATACTTATAAAATGATCAAAATCAAATAATATAAAAAAATTCAAATGAATTAATAAAAAACGTATAATACTAAAACATGAATAAATTAAAGTAAGATAGTTAGATCTCAAATATAAGCATAATTATTCATATAAACAAGTAAGGACGAAATTAAAATTATCAATAACTAATAGACTTGAAATGAAAATAATGAAAACTTCATTAATGACCAAATTAAAATAATACAAACCAAGAGGGTATGCTTCATTAATATTCCATATATGAAGCATTAAATTTTTGCTTGGTATTTTAACCAAGAAACCTGCGTGCGTGAGAACCAGAACCCCCTTCCTTCTTTTCTTCCTTCACGTATATCTCTGCCCCTTGTTGGTGACTTTCAGCGTGCCCCCCAAACAAGGATTGATTGGGGTTTTTATAGCCCCAATTCTCACATGCTTTTACATAAAATAATACAATTTTTTGGGTGTTTGATGACCAGACATGCATTTATCCATTTAGTGCCAGGAAACAAAGGATAGTGGTAATTTAGGTATGGTGGGGTAAGATATAATGAAAATGGCACTTGGTGGAGTCATGAAATACGTGAATGGTGGAGTGGGTGGAGTATGGGTAGTGGAGCATAGTAAAAAAAATGATGCTGACAGCTGCCCCGCTTTGCTTTTTGCTGTGAAACGGGAATGAAGCAAAGATAATAAAGCATCATTTTTATCTTGGTCTCTTCTTGTCACACTACGAATCTCTTCACTGGGAATGTCAATTCTTCTTCTTCTGCAAAATCGTCGAGTCTTTGCTGCAAATGATGTCATCTTGCTTCGTTCTCTTAGCTGAGTCTTCATCTTCAATTCTTCAGGTTATGGGTTATTCTCATTACGATCTTTCTCCTTTAGGACGAGTTCTTCTCATTATGAACTCTTCTGGAAATATCAATCCCTCAAGCGAGGCGTCACTGATTCAAAAAGTCGTGAATCGAGTGATAGGTCAAACAAGCTCTTCTTATTATGAACTTTTTCTCCATCTGTCGGATGAGTTCTTTTCATTATGAACTCTGTACTGGAAATATTGATATGTTTATATTCTCTTTGAAAATTTTCAGACTTATAAAAGATTATCATGTGTCAGTAATAATTGTGTTTGAAGTACCCGAAGGTATTAGCCCAAAGGTTTTATCATCTTGCTCGAAAGGCTTACAGATGACCCGAAGGATTTAAAAATAAAAAAAAACCCCGAAGACTTAGTTTCTTAAAATCTCATTTGAAAACATCTTGCACTGAAGGTCTTATGGATGGCCCGAAGGACTTAAAAATCAAGAAACCCCTGAAGGCTCAGTTTCTTAGATCTCATTTGAAAACATCCTGCACTGAAGGTCTTATGGATAGCCTGAAGGACTTAAAAATCAAGAAACCCCCGAAGGCTCAGTTTCTTAATTGCCATTTGAAAACATCCTACACTGAAGGTCTTATGGATGGCCCGAAGGACTTAAAAATAAAAAAAACCCCGAAGGCTCAGTTTCTTAATTGTCACCAATGAACCCCTACATATCGCGTTGGTCCCTCAAGTGGTCATCAAGTTTGTCATCAAGGAACCCCTACATATCACGATGGTCCCTCAAGATTGTCATCAAGAAACCCTTACATATCACGATGGTTTCTCAAGCTTGTTATCAAAGAACCCCTACATATCACGATGGTCCCTCAAGCTTTTCACCAAGAAACCCCTACATATCACGATGGTTTCTCAAGCTTGTATATCACGATGGTCCTTCAAGCTTTTCTTCAAGAAACCCCTGAAAATCAGGCTTAGTTTCAAAAAATAGTGTTTCGAGCGAAACTATCTCAAGCGAGATAGAATCTTCTGTTTCAAGTGAAACAATCTCAAACGAGATAAAATCTTCTGTTTCAAGTGAAATTGTCTCAAGGGAAACAAAATTTGTTTCTAGGGAAACCGTCTCAAGGGAGACAAAATTTGTTTCAAGGAAAATTGTCTCAAGGAGACAAAATTTTTCTGTTTCGAGAGAAACTATCTCAAGCGAGATAAAATCTTTCTGTTTCGAGGGAAACTATCTCAAGCGAGATAAAATCTTCTGCTTCGAGGGAAACTATCTCAAGCGAGATAAAATCTTTCGTTTCAAGAGAAACTATCTCAAGCGAGATAAAATCTTTTGTTTCGAGGGAAACTATCTTGAGTGAGATAAAATCTTCTGTTTCAAGAAAAAACAATCTTGAATGAGATAATATCTTCTGTTCCAAGGAAAAACAATCTTGAGCGATATAAAATCTTCCGTATTAAATTAGACTGTCTCAAGCGATACAAAATTTGTTTGAAAATGTTGAATCTGAAGATGATTGCTTCCTCTTGCTGAGGATATCTTGTTGTATTTTACTCTCATTTTTTCTGAAAGATCTGCAAAAATGTAGTTGAATGCAACTATTATGAATGAATGTTTGATGCAAAGATGCAAATTCATGTAGGTGTAATGCATGACTTTTTTTATATACAAATGATGTTCATATGAATAAAAAAAATGTGATGCAATCTTCATTTAACTTCAAAGTGGCCATCTTGGTCTTCTTCTACTTGATCACTTCTTCCCAAAGCCTACTAAAATATTCATATAGTAACTCATAATTTCCAACTTGCATTTTTGAAGATCCATCTAATCTTCTTCTCTCTTCTTGTCATCTTCGTTTTCTGTCTTCATTTCAGAGAAAACATTTTCTTTCTCAACTTCTTGATACGATCAGAAATATGATTGTGTTGCCCTATTTTAAGAGACTATGCGTATGACTATGCCAAACTCCGTAAAGATCAAAGGGAGAGTTGCGTCAA